CTGGATTTTGTTATTAATAACTTGTTGATGTACAACTGATTTTAAGGCTGCCTGGTTTCCTGCTGCAGTAATGACTTCATCATTTCTTTATCGGCAGTACTAACTGAGCATCAGCTGCTGTTCTCAGGTGGGAAAAAAAAATGACCAGTAAGCCCCAGAGGACCCTGATTTTATAAAGCATCTTATTCATAAATATTTTTATTTGCTAACCCATGTATTTAATAATAGAGCCAATTCTGTCACTTGAAGAAAAGTATGAGAAAAGTATTTCTCACTAAGAGAAAATAAGAAATTTGAGAATAACTTACAGTATTCTTATGATTGAGTATCCTCATGTATGCTGTGAAACCAAAAGGATTCAGTTAGTTGCAAAAACTGCGGAAAATATTAAAATTGTGTTATCTACACAGCATCTGGCCAGTTATATTTTCTTCCCAGTGAAATACTACCCTCGGTCATCGAAAACTTCATAAATGTTCACCAAACCTAAGGCAGATTTTTTTTGGATGTGGAGACCATTATGACATTAGTTTACCTAGCTTAAAATGATGATAATCCTGAGTGAAAGAAAGCAAGACAGTAGGATAGCCCACTACTGCTTCTTGGGGAAAAAGCACATTTCTTTTTATATCATATAGTCATAGTACCACACAAATAAGTCTGCCCATTCTTACTTCCTACCCCTAGCATTTGAATCTGAAAACCAAGAGTTCTTGTTTACAATCTTGTCTAGAAGAAGATAGTCTTTACTACACTGTAGGCAGTGAGATTGAAATGATGAAGTGGAATTTGAATTCTCCCTCCTGGGAGGATTGCCTCTTCCCAAATGACAAGACTGACAAGCAGATGTTGTATAATTTCACAGGTGGAATCTTGTTCATTTGAAGCTGATGCTTCATAAGTCTTGCTGTTTACAGACTCTTGGAATTCACTGACTCTATAATGATGAACTCTGGGAAAGAATGAAAGAGCTTTCTCATCAATTTGTGCATTGCAAAGCAGTTGCTGCATTTCCCTAATTGGGATGAGAAATTGCCTGTGGTACTCTGAAATCAAGGGTTATAATCAATTACAGAATTGCTCACTTTCCTTTAGTGATGGAGTCTTCTCTCTTTGTGATTATTCACGTCAAAACTAGTTCCTTTGCTAAACCAATACCAGTCTAGGTGATGTATTTGATGACTGTTTCTCTTACATTCTGACTTTTCTGTGTCTTTACAGATCGAATGGTCACGGTTGGTCGCTGGGCAAAGGGAATGAGTGCGGACTATGAAGACATTTTGGATGTGCCTAAACCACAGAAACCCAAAACAAAGATACCTAAAGTTGTTAATTTTTGATTAGTGCTATCGTTTGTTAGCACCTCATTGTTAAACATTCTGAACTGGGCCTACTTCGTAAGTTGGAGCTGGACTCTCCCTTGGAGTCCTGTATTGTAGATATCAATATAATCTAGGTGTGGTCAAACCAGTTCCTGAGTTCTGTCCATCAGGGAGCACTACTACAGTTGTTTGGAGAAAATCACTGAAAAAAAGTATAATACGTTCAAATTGGATTTTCTAAAAGAATATATTTTTAACCAACAGAACTTAGGTGTAACTAAGTGGTTATATACCTGATTGTAACAATCATCTTTTTCTAAAAACAAAATTATGCATTAATATGAACTATCCCTAAACATGGGGTACCTGCTTTGCACTTGGAAATGAATTTTTGTTATATTGTTTTCTTGGCTCAAAGCATCAATTTATTGTTATATTAGAAATTAATTTATAATTGCCACAAAATCTGTATTTTAAAAATATTTAATAAAAACTCACTTGCTATTTACTTATTTTTCTGAATACCTAATTTTGGATTGAATGAGCCATTGTCCATTAATGTCCATGTAACAATCCCTTTGGAAACACAGTCTTTATGAATCCTAGATGAGCTTAATTTTTATTAATTTTTGTTTTAGTTTTGACATAAAGAACAAATTATTGAGGTTAAAATAGAAGAGTATCTCAACTTAACAGCAGCTCTTTCTTTGCCCCTGATTTTCAAGAGAGAAATTCTAGCCCAAATTCAGTTTGTGCTATTTAACCCGAATGATGATGGCACATAACAGATTGTCTGTCAAACTTAATAGCATTTTGTTCACATGTTTTAGATGAGTCAGGATGAGATGCAAGCATCATCATCATCAAAACAGAGTTAGAACACTAATCAGAGACCCATTAGCTTCTTTGTTTGATTTGATGAATACATGCATACTTAATACATATATTTCACAAGGCTTAAGCCTCCCATTGTACTGTATAATGGAATGACTGTTGGATTGTGTGTTTCATTTGGAATTTTACCTGATTGGATACATTTGTAATGAAAGGAAACAGCTGTGATTAGTTACTGATGTTTCAAAAGCAAAATATTTACCAAATAAGAAAAGGAACACTTTTCTGTTTTAATGTCTGTACCTCTGAACATTTCTAATCTTAATAGGAGCTGTTCTTTTTTTTTTTTTCAGTGACAGGAAAACATGAACAGAATATGGCTCAGCATCCCAGAACTTAAGGAGATGAGTGCCATTTAAAAGGAATGGTACAAGTCATGCAGCTGGAAAAGGACAGCAGTGCTGCCCTGGTCATTTAGTCTGAACACACCCAGATTTATTTCACCTGTCCTATCAGGAGCAAAAGGCTCTGGAAAGTCAAAAACCTGTCAGCTGCAAGTTAAGTCTACTGTTTTTTATGTAGTCTTCAATGCAGGGATGTCCATTTTGTCTTCTTTGGGGTTACTTTGTTTACATTTTAATGGTCTATAAAGTAGACAGTGAAATCATTGGAAATAAATTGCAGGTGCTGAATGTAACATTGGAAAACTATGTGGACACTTTGTTAAAGAAACTCACCAGAGACAGAAATTCTGACATCCTGAGATTGTGTATTGCTTGATGTTGGTTATTTTCTTAACTAAGAATGCCAAAAGAAGAAGGCACACATTTACTTTATTCATTATATATTTTCCAAGGACCTACTATGTTCCTGGTACTCTTTCAGGCACTTGAGATTGTGGCAGTGAATAAGACAAACAAGGCCACATGCATTCTGCTGGGGCTGAAGAATGGAGAGGAGACTTAGGAACAAAAAATACATATCAGAAATATCAGTAAAAATAATATCAGAGAGGGATATTTTATATATTTTATAAATATTTTGTTGAATCCCCTAAGACTTAGTGGTTAGCACTCTTTTCTTCCTTTAGTCCTTTGGAAATGTCATCTCTCTTTACAAGCTTAACTTTCACTTTTCCGTGGCTGACTCCTAAATCTCCATCTTGCCCTAAAATCCCTGGTTTCGGTTCTGTCTTCTCACCTGCCTGCTGGACATTCTTACTTGGATGTTGCACTAACACCTCAAATTCATAATAGCTTTAAATCTCATCACTTCCCCTGAGGGAAAAAATGGGCTACTTCCCTTTGTCTCCATTTTATTCAGTACAATTTATTCCAAGCCTGTAGGCTCGTATCTCAAGTTACGCTTTTCTTGACATTCTCCCCACCACTCTCCAGAATCAACCCTCTCTTACTTCGTTCAGGCGTCTGCTTATAATCTGCCTAATAGAGAGTCTTTTATGACCAGCCTTATAGGAAATAGCTTTTTCCTCATCCCAATAACTTTTCATTCTCTTGCTGTCTAAATTTTCTCCATAATTTATGTCCTTACATAACACTATTTGTCCCCTCTCCACCGGATTATAGGTTACATGAGGGCAGGAATTTTGTGTTACTCATTATCCTCAGAAGTGCTTGGTGCATACAGAGCATTCACACTGTTGAATGAATGAGTGAATTAAATGGATATGTGATAGAATTAACACACAGATGATACAAGAGGCTGGGTATCTACTTCAGATTGGATAATCAGGGGAAGCCCTCTGAGAGGAGGACTTTTAAGCTGAAATCTGGATGACAAGAAGAAATCTGTTGTGAAGATAATGAGGAAGAGCGTTTAGGGAGAGAAAATAGTCAAAGCCATGAGCTTGCCATATTTGAGGGGCAGAAAGATGTGATCTTTTTGGCTGGCTTCCTTCACTTAGCATAATGTTTTCAAGGTTCATTTGTAATATTACATTGTATAGTACACAGGGAGGTATTAGGGAGAAAGCCTTGGATATCTTGATGTGAGGTAATAAGTAAATGCAATGATACTGAGGAAGGAGCCTGCCTGGTATAGTTGGAAAACAGCAAAGAGGCGAATATGGTTGGAAAAGAGAGGGATAAACTAGTAGAAGATCAGAGAGTTAACAGGGGTCCTATCTTACAGCCTCTACCAGTTTCTGCCACATAAAAACCACAAACTCTCAGAAGCATACGCGAATACGCGGTTATTTAGCTCATGCCTGTGAGTCAGATCTAGACTGGGCTTATCTGGACAGCTCTGCTCATCTCATTTGGGCTTGAGATGCCCAAACATCCATAAGAAGTTTGGTTTGGGGTCAGCTGACCTAAGCTAGACTCAGATGAAGAAGCTCTATTGCATGCTCTATTCCTTTTCCTGGGACCAGCTCTATTCCTTTTCCTGGGACCAGCAGGCTAGCCCTGACATGTTTTTCTCAGGACAATGGCAGAGATGTAAGAGGGCAGGTCCACTTGCAAAACCATTTTCAAGCCTTTGTTTGCATCATGTCTGTTGATGAGTCACACAATCGAGCTCAGAGATAAGAGGTAGAATTCGTGGAGGTGGGGATGGTGGTGAGGGAGTGAATACTTATGAAAAATAATCCAACGTACCACAACATACCCCAGACCATTATAAAGCTTTGGCTTTCACTCTGTGATACGCAAAATTTTTCACACGTTTGGGGAGAAATGTGACATGATCTGATTGCCGAGTTGAGAGCAGAGTGAAGG